TCAGAAATGGACAAAGACATGTCCAGTTTAAGAATACCATACTGTGTAAGAAACAATGGTCAACAGACTTGAATTGAATACATTGGACCTCTGAATAGCAACAAAGTGAATGAAAAGAGGTAAACAATAGACAGTAGAACAAAAAACTAAGTTACACAGTATTTTCAGCTTTGTTACTACGACTTCAATATATTAAAAATACATATATAATGTACAGATCAGAAATTATTAGAAGACAATGAATGATAAAAAAAATATATAATTATTATTTTTAATAATTATTAATTAATGAAAAATTGAACTGAAAAATGAATTAACATGAACTTAAAGAACAGAATGAATGAATGAATGTATAAATGAATGAATAAATATATGAATGTGGACAAATGAATGTGGACAAATGAATGAATGAATGTATAAATGAATGGACAAATGAACAAATGAATAAATGAATGAATAAATGAATGAATAATAATGTGGTATTATTATTGAGTCTAGTATTTTTTTTATGATTTTTCTTTGCATTTATTAATATATTCTATTTTTGTAAATACATTCATTTCATCCTTTGGCTGCCATTTGTATATATTCTTTTATACCTGAATAACTAAATAAATAAATAAATAAAAATGAATAAATGAACTAATGAATGAATGAAAAAATGAATAAATGAAATGAATAATTGAAGAAATGAATGAATGAATGAACAAATGAATGAATGAACAAATGAATGAATGAACAAATGAATGAATGAATGAACAAACAAATAAATAAATGAAATAAATTATTGAACGAATGAATGAATAAATGAACAAATAAATGAATAAATGAACAAATGAATAAATGAATATATACATGAATTAATAAATAAACAAATGAATGAAAGAATGAATGAATGTATAAATGAATGAATAAATGAACAAATAAATAATTAAATAAATAATTAAATAAACAAATGAATGAATGAACAAATGAATGAATGAACAAATAAATTAATAAATGACCAGATAAATAAATGAATGAATGAATGAATGAATGAATAAATGAATGAATGAACAAATAAATAAATGAATGAACAAATGAATAAATGAATGAATAAATAAATGGACAAATCAATGGAGATAAAGTGACTGCACTTGTTCATTTCCAGTGGGTATCATAAAACTGTACAGTGGTGCCGTGTAATGTCATTGTTGGGTTGAAAATTACATAATTAATATGAAAAAAGAAAAATACCAAATTTAAATAAATGATTGAAAGAATCAATATCAATATGTTAGGGTAACAAATATATGAAAAACTTTGGAAAAGGGGAGCATCAGAATGGAACATTAATTACTTTCTAAAAACTAAGAAAACGATTTTATCATAAATATATAACTGACACCAGACAAACATTAGAGAAGTTAAACAGTTAAAGGAAAACAATATGGGGAAAATATTTGATATACAACATTCATAAACGATAGGATAGTATCAAAATAATCAGAAGGAAAAACATAATAAATTATATCAATAAGCTCATCATAAATATAAAAACTGGTATCGTAAATGTTATAACAATATCACATAGATAGGTTAAAGGCTTATTCTGAAAAACAAAAAATGTATTACAATGAAAAATGTGAGTGAATCTTGGTTGAAATACTACATTCATAAGCGGAAGCAAAAAATAGTAAAACACAGGACAAAAATCATAATGCAATTTTCACCATAACACACATGTCCGTGTCACATATTTATAGTGTGAAAAACAAAATCTAAGAAATTTGCAGCACTTACATAATCATGAAATGCCTTGGCTTCGCTGGAGTGTTCACATGTTTCCCTTCTTTCCGGTGCTGCACAATATAAATCCCAAAACACACTGCAAATATAAAGCAAGCACGATATCAACTCACACAATTGTGTTCTTGGTGGGTGGGAGGGGGGAAGAAGGCAGGGAGAGGGGAGAGGTGAATGCATATCCATCCAATGTTGGCAAATTAGTTCGACTAAGTGTGTTACAATATTGAAAATGACTATCAAGATTTTATGGGAATTATGGAGTTAGTTCCACATTCTCAATTTTGGCAACCCCCCTCCCCAGCATATGCCCCTGAAACAGTATGTCATGTGACATTTAGTTGCCAACATAATCAACAATTTTATATAATGTTACAGTTTGTTGTAAAAAATGTTTTTATTTTATTGTAGAACCATAAAAACGTACAATGTATTTTCACCACTAAATAACATCTCTGTAACATTGTAATAACGTTAATTTCTTACCTAAAATAGTGTTATAATATCATTTTGTGTTTGCTAGAAAAATACTGTTTGGTAAGCTTAATTTAATTTACTTAAAATTTGGAAAACTCAGAGAATAAAAAAACATATTTTTGACTTTAAAAAAATGATACCTCAATACATAATACATTACAGTATATCACACGTATATTTTTAATGTTTTTATTATGAAATATGATGGCAGCATATTATTATCATGTTTAAATCTTCATAACTTTCTTATTTATAAACATTTTGTTAGTTTATCACAACATTCACACACTTTCTACAAATTGCCATAAAATATTATTCAATAATAAAATCCAAATAGATAATAAAGATAGGTAAAATATATTTTGTAGCGAATGGTTCTCACAAAGACATTGAACAAAAGTAACCACAAAAATAGGTTAACAATAGATTTGTAGACACAAACTATCATTTAAATATATTAAATAAATAAATTATATATCACCACCAAAAAAGAAAATCATTAATAAAAACAACTTATTATAAAGTAATAGAAATGTAAAATATAAATTTACACCTAAGTTTGTAATAGTTATTATTACTTATTTTTTTCATTATGTATATTTCAATTATATAGTCATTTTCCTCACCAATGCATTAAATAAAAGTGTCAATATTCATTACACTATGGCTAATCGCTGTACATTGATATGATAATATTATGTGAAAGTTCTTAGCAAGACACTAAAGATATTCATTGGGTACAATACACATTTTATAATAGAAATAAACTGTTATATATATAATATTTAAAAAAAATAATGATAATTAATTTCAAATCAGTCACCACCATGCTACTAAAAATAGACAGTCTAAGTTTTAAAAAAAAATTTTAAAAAAGAAGAAAAAGAAAGAAAAAATATAATTTGTTTCCTTCTCTGTTCCTACTTTAACACTACTGAACATATATAATTTTTCATTGAAATATCATCATTGGAAATCATTTCCTAGAGAAATTAAAAATTGTCTTACTGTTCATTAAAACAATATCAACTCTTTCACCCAATACCAATACAAATACCAATATCTTTTAAAGGACTGTTCTGTGATCATTTATTTTCTTTAGGAATTTCTATATTCAGTAATAATAATTAATTTAATTTAGTAATCTAATTTATTCAATACTTTAAGTAAAATACATACAAACATGTACACAACAACAAGGAAAACAAAAGAGGCAGATAGTTACTCCGTTGTTAAAGGTAGCAGGAGCTATCAAAATATCCGTTACATTTTTAATATATTTTAATAAATTTGTTTCTGCAAGTCAAACTTCAATAATTGATCTCATCATTAATAATAATAATAATAATAATATTAATAATAATAATAATAATAATAATAATAATAATAATAATAATAATAATAATAATAATAATAACAATAATATAATATAAATAATAATAATAATAATAATAACAATAATACTGTTTTTATATAGAGCATAAATAGTTAAAATATCTCAATCATTGTTTTACATTTTATTTTACTTGGATATGTGTATATACATATAAGTAATATATAGGACCAAATTGGGATCAATGTTGCAATGTAGCACTGTAGTATATACATAAAAATATAAATATGAAATATATATATGTATATGTATTTATACAAAATTTGAACTTGTTAATCAAAATTTTGAAACATAGGCATCAGTCATAATATTATTGGGTTGAAGCATTTATAATATTAAATTTTAGCATCACTCAACATTAGTAATAGTAAGTTCCAGTTTTAATTTAAACATGATCTAATGCTAAATACTTACTGGATGAATGAATGAAAACTTCCACAAATAGATTAAAATTTTAAATCAGTTAAGTCAATAAAAACTGTGGAAATTTTACACATTATTCATTTCCAAAATCAAAGAACATAAATTGTCAATAGATAAAGAAAGTAGAAAAAAAGAAATCTAGCATTATTATTAAATCTAATAATGCCAATATATATTTAAACTCATACGATGTTTTAAGCATAGCTCTTCAACAGGTAAAGAAATTGATGTATATTAACATATTTTACCTTTTTCTATATCTTTTAATAGTTTTGTTTAGCAATAAGTTAACAATTATTACTTAGATTAACATGTATCTTGTCTGTTTCGTTCTGCACAAATTCCTGGTGTGGCTATCCACACTGTTGTATTATAAATTATAGAATAGATAATGATAATAATCATAACAATACTAATAGTAATAATAATAATCAACAAAAATAATAACAATAATAATTTAGTAATGCTAATGGGGATAATGATAATAATAATAATAATAATAATAATAATAATAATAATAATAATAATAATAATAATAATAGTAATAATAGTAATAATAATAATAATAATAATAATAATAATAATAATAATAATAATAATAATAATAATAATAATAATAATAATAATAATGAATAAATAATAATATTATTGCAATAAATATGTAAATCATGTTTGATAATAGAAATAAAATAGCAATCACTACTTAAATACTTAAGTTACATTTCCTTGTTGTTTCAGTTAATAAAGATTTAAAAAGCTCTCGCTTTTACTTTCTATAAGAATAATTTGTAATATATACTGTATTTCATATAGAGCAGTATTCAAATTAGCTTTAGAAACTGCGGAGCAAAATGGGCGGAGCTTTCACACTGAGCGTGGGTGGTCGACTTCTTATGCGTGTGCGGGGCCCAGAATCTATCAGCCGCAGATGGCTCTCTTCTTCCAACACGCTTGACGGTGCGCTCGGTATTATGTTCAGTGGGACCAGGCTGATTTTAGAGCACTACACCCTCTCCGATCCTCTCGCCGCCGTGAAGAACTCGGGCTCAGCTGCGGCTGCTAGTCCCGTGTAGGCATAGCCTAGCAGATGAAAGGGCGTCAAAAATAATTGTACCATGACCTTACTAGCTGAGTCTGAGTTTAAATTATGTCTCAAGCAGTTTATTGATGTGTCAAATGAAATTAAAGATACATGGGAGATAGTGTCTTTAGACGAGGTAACATTATCATTTATTCGGCTAGCCTAGCTAGCTAGCTAGCTAGGCCTAGGCCCAGGCCCTAGCTAGCTAGGCTAGGCCTTGGCCTAGTCCTAGATTTAGTTAGTAGGGCCTAGGTCTACACCCAAGCTAGCTAGGATCAAGCAGGCTAGGCCTAGGTAGCCTGGACTTTAGTTAGTTAGGATAGGCCTAGGGGGCTAGGCACTTGCCACTACTGGAACTAGATTATAAATAATAGATAGTATGCCTATCTATATAGCCTAGTCAAAAAGGAGGGGGTGAAAGTAGGCCTAGGTGGGTAGGAAAGGCTACACATGGCTGGCCAGAGAGAGACATAGTTATAGGCTAGGCTTAGTAACTATAGTAGTAGGACTAGGTAGGCTAGCTTAGGCCTATGTTGACATATTTTACAAAGACTGCGTAGGCCTAGTTGAAACGCACAGTGTTGCAGAATCGACCAAAAAATCTCCACCGCCTATGTAAACAAGCATTAATTAGGAGCAACAATCTCAAAATCAATGTGGCAATAATAAATATTATTTATTATTTCAGCTCATCTTTGGAACAATCTTTCTCACAACATTCGTTTCAATTTTGATGCTCTTTCTATTAATATGTTTAAAAAAGATGCCTTTATCTGTATTTAGTAAGACTGTACCTTTTTAATTTTGGTTTGGTAGTTTTCATTTGTCTGCTTTCTTTTCACTTTTAGGCTATCTTGTTGTTTTTGATTTACTTTTAGTTACTTTTGAATTTCATGATTGTAAAAATTATTATTATTTTTTTTTTTGGATATGTTCACTGTATGTACCAGGGCTTCCTTGAAAAGCAGTGCTAGTCACTGAAAGGATACCTGCTGGTTAAAGAAATCTCAAATAAATATAATAAAGTGTTGTGCCGACTATAACTCAAATTTGGCGTATCTTTAATGGTTAGGGTTAGAGTAAGCCCTGACTAATAATAATAAAAAAAAAAGAAACCAAAAAAAAATGCTGTGTAAACAAGTAGATGTTTTACTGGCTAAATAAACACTGCCAAATAATAAATAATAAAACATTGAAGACTTCTCAGTGCATTCAGAAACAATTCAATACCCACAAAATTAAAAGGCTGTGGATATTATTCAAACAATTTTGCGTAAATTTGAGGTGTTGGTTGGTGGAGCTGGCTTGATCCTAACCTTAAACTTGAGTCTCGCTATCTTTTAATGCGCTAGGTGAGATAAGATAAATTTGCGAACATGGAAAAACGAAGTCTCGCCTTATGGTATGTTGTAAGAAGTTAAAATGTTTCCATGTTCTGCCAAACTAACATAAGCAACAAAATACTGTAGTGCCACACCCACCTTCATGCTGATTTGTTGATAAATTTTCCCCTATTTTTTTTAGCCACACAAACATGATGAAAGACAGGAGTACATGATAAAGAGGAATGTCTCAAGACTATTAGAGTGCCCTCAGCAGAGCGGAGTAGAAGATACGGTATTGCAATATGATGAGGGATGGACACAAGAAACAGATGAGGTATAACATCATGTAAAATTACATTGTAGCTGTGAGTTTATGCCTGAAGAAAAAGTTTATTTATTTATCTTGTTTATTTTCTGTGTTTAGTTACTTATGTAACACCCAGCATGATTGTATTAAGACAACAAGTTATTGGTGTCTCCATAGTTTGGAAATAGTCTAAATTTTTAATTACCAAAAGTGAAGAGTAAAATTTGCTAACACACACCCTGTTATATTTTCATGAATTATTATAATTATGATAAACAGAGATTAAAGAAATGTCTTGTCAATTTGTTTCTTATTTGGACGGAGGATGCTACATGGGCTTAAATAATGCATACTAGTTTAGTCCAGTGGTTTTGTGAGGTTGTAGTCTTCCCCACCCCTCCTAATTGGAAAAGGTCAACATTTTTAAGACAGCCAAGAATGTACTGAATAAGTTTGTCGTTTCTGTTATGTAAATGAAAATGGAATCTTAAGTCTTAAGTTGTGGTATTAATGAAAAATTGAAGCTGCGATCCAAACAGCTCTACCCACTAACCCCAGTTCGTCCATTTCCCAGGATACAGCCCTGTAGTGTATTTAGTGCTCTAACATTTCAGTTAAAAGCATCAATAGGATTATCACCTTACCATGTGAAGGCTGACACTTTTGAATGAGGAATTTAAATACATATTTTTTTCTTGATAGGATGATGTAATGGCTGAAGAGCAGACTACAGGAGGCGGTATACTGTGTACGTACGAGTATCACGTTGTCTACAGTCATAGCTATGCGGTTCCAGTTCTGTACTTCAATGCTTGCAAACCAGGTAAGTAGAGGTGCATATCACTACTTCTCATTGGTCAGACAATGTATCTCTAATCTCATCGACCAATAAGATTAGAGTTGCATACAACTGGCCTAATCCCATTGGTCAAACACATATAGGCTTCATTTTAAACCAAAATTTATGTTATATTGAAATAAAGTGGCACTGTAAGTGGTCTTCCAATTAAAGAGCACTTTTCTGTGTCCCAAAATTATCCTTTTATCTTTATTATTTTAATTAGAGACCAAAGCTGCTAAGGAAACCCCTTCCAAAAGTGATCTTTAATTTGAGGGAGACCAGTAGTTAATAAAGCATATTAGGTACATTGTTAAGAAAAAAGTGTCTCCCAAATTTTGGCAAATTACTGACATATATATTTTGAAATATAATACTGTTACTATAATGATGATAAAATTATTGATGAATGTTGCATCAGGAATAAATATCAGTAGAAATAAGAACAATTATACAAATATTAAAAGGTTACATTCCTTAATCCTAAAATAGGTACAGGTATGAGCAAATATTAGAGCTAGCCTAGCAGAAATCTCCAATACTAAAATTATTTCAAGATTTGTGCTGAGAACACTAAGAGAAAAATGTATTTCTGATTTTACTCGCTTCAGATGGCCAGTTGCTGAGCCTGGACGAGGTATGGGAGATGATCCCTGACCATTATCAAACACGCCTACAACATGAACGCTGGACATTCATAACACAGCAGGTAAGATAATTGCTTCTATGTTCTTTTAATATTCAATTATTACATTCCCCTAACCTTCATGCACTGCTTTATGCTCAGTTTTAATATTACTTTTCTAGATAAAAAATAGTCGGCGGACACGCACATAGTGTTTTAAATTATTTTTACGGGCTGCAACAAAATCATTGTCGGGCCGCACTTTGCCCATCTGTGATTTATGCTAAGATAATGTAACTCCAGGGATCTAAACCACTATAACCCCACTGATGAAGCTCTAGTGGGTGTCCTGCCATGTGTGTCCCTTTATATAATCCAATGTGTATCCTTCTCCATGTGCATCCTTTCTCTGTGCACTCCTTCCCCCGGTAATCGTTATGACGTTTTCGAACCATTGAACATAGGATATGTATAAAATATATTCAAAAGTTTGGTTAGGGTATTCCATAATTTTAAGTACCTAATAATGTTGTCCTTTTTACCAATAGGAACACCCGATTCTTGGACGTCCATTTTTCACACTGCACCCATGTCATACAGCTGATCTGATGAAGACAGTTTTAACAAACAAAACCATAAGGTGAGTTACTTGGCCAAGTTCAAAATATTTATAGTAGTAATTATACATTTAATTGTCTTTCTATTTTAAACAACACCAAAGATAACCCACAAAAGTCTAGAAGACCCAGTGGTGTCCTTCTGGTGGTGTGATTGGGCAGAACACCAGGAGACAATCCCCTACTCTTTTATGAAGAGTGTACATTAATGCACGGCTTAAACGTCTCATCCAAAAGATGGTGCGAAAGTTTTATTAAAACCTCCAGCTGAAACACAAGGAGAGCAACGATAGGAATTGAACCGGTGACCTCCATGGTTTCAGCATGCACACAGTGGCTACGCCAGATTAGCCGACTGAGCTAAGCGCTCTCTCTGTAAGTAAAGAAAATCCTTTCCGAGTCACTGGGGCTCATAGGGCTGGAGCTTATCCCCAGTTTCTGTAGCGTGAAGCGGATGAGAGTGTAATACTCGCCCCGGGTGGGACGCTGGTCCATCGCAGGATACTCCCAGCAATTTGCTGGTACCCATTGATACAGCTGGGTAGACTGAAGTAACGTAGATGAAGTGCCTTGCTCAAGGACGCAAGCGAAATGCACAACGAAGGGTTGAAACTTGAGATTGGGAAACCAAACCTTTCTCACTGCGCCAAAGTGGCTCCTGCTCTTTCTGTAGGAGCCACTAAACAATGCTACAAAGAAATTTATTTGATTCATGGACAATTAGATTTTTTTGATATGTTGGTTCTTTTTATTTACAGGTCATCTTATTTAGTCAGTTGGTTAAGTTCAGTTGGTCCAGTGGTAGGCCTTGAACTGTCATTGGACTATGCTAAGCTGTGTAAAGATTGAGGCAATTCGATGGCTCGCAGCAGTGGTCAGTTGTTCCGGTGGGTAGTGTTGGGTCATGCTAAGCTGTGTGGAGATTAAGGCAGTCTGATACTCAGCAACATCATAAGCTTCAATGGTATGCCACAGATACTATGAATCAGTGCCCCTCCCCTACCCCCTCCATGGAGCAGGTCCGGCTCCCCCATCGTCCAACATCCTGATGTCAGACCACATATTAATTTGTGGTTTCCAACATCTGATATGCTTCATGGCAAAAATTTGAAGCAAAAAAATATGGTTTAATGATGATGCACATATTATGATAACATACTGTAACTAGGACAACACTTTTATTGCTTTGTGCATGTTTAATATCTGCATTATAAAGTTGTTATTTGTGCGATCATATTGATCAATAGATTATAATTACAAAAATGTATCAAATTTTAATTTATATTTAATTAAAATGTTAAGAAACAAAAATTACTCTGTCATTATAAAATTATTTTAAGAACATTTATAATATATCCAAAAAGATTTTGAAAACTTAAAGAGTATATTATTGTTTTCCTGTTGTCCTGTGGGTGCTGTTTATAAGGTAAATTTCAGTTTAAGGAGTGGTGGGTGATAGGCTTGTTAGTATTGCATGCATCAGGTCTAGGCCCAGTATAGTAGTTGCATATTAGGTGAAGAAGATCCTTCTCGGCCGCCTTCTCCATTTCTTCTGTGTGCACCTAAACGATAAAAATGATAGGTATATAATATTTATTTATTATTATCATTATATAACACACAATACTGATGAAGCAGATTCAAACCTAGAAAATAACTGCGAAGACAAGCAAATTTCAACAACATCTAATAATATCTTGTATAGGTATATAGAAACAATTACTCTACCAAAGAGGTTATATATTCACTGCTGTCTGTTGGCAAGATTACGCAAAAACAAAAGAATGTTTAAGTTGCAGAATCTTTTAAATTTTAAAGGCAGCAACTTAACTGAAGAAGAAGAATGGATCGTAAAATTTAGTGCAATGGTATACACCATTTTATCTGGTCTAATTTTAAACGGTGCCACCAACGTCTCGTAACTCTCGGGGACTTCCAGCAGCCTAGCCTGAGAAAATTTCGCTTTTCCAGACACATATCTTCTTTTGAGTACTTCGACAACCAAAAACACTGCAGGTCTTATTTTCTGTTTTTTTTTTCTGTTTTGCCATTTTGTTTTCAAAGAGTAGCCTTGACCTAGACTAACCCACTACAACAAGAAGGTTGTGTACTGGTCACAGCACTGAGATAAACACTGGCAAAACTCTGTAGAGCAAAATGTTTAGGCCTCAGGAAGTCCTCTAGTGGTAATTGCCAGGTTGTCAGAAATTTTTGTTTCAAATTTTGTAAAAATGGTGTAAATAATAATCTAAGAAAGAAGTGATTTTAATTTTGGGAAGAAAAGGACAAGGTGAAGGTCACAGAAATTCAATTTTTTCCCCTTGAACATACCCTTGAACAAAAAATAAAGGAATCACCCATAACTGGAGTTATGCACTCTATTGAGTGACTGCTTTTAAGTTTCATTCTAATAATCATAATATATACTGTCTATCAAATACTAGTGAAAAAAAATTGTAAGTGATGTGGGTGGGAATTGAACAACAAGGTATCTAGCCTGATGTTTTAACCACTAGACCACCGAGTCTGCGCTTGGTGACTAGTGATGAATCTGATCTTCTAGTAGCAGTGGGTACTGCAAGTGCTATTACGGATGTGGGTTTTCGTCAGGAAAATATCATAGAAGTGATGTTCTGCCCTACCTGAAGTGTTATCATACCGAATACTCAGTACGTCCCCAAATACTAGCAAAAAAGATTTGCAAATGATTCGGAACCACGACCTCCAGTCTACACATTTTTCAAATTCAATAATGTCTATGCTCAAGTTAATAATTTGTATGTTTGCCTATTAAGTAGAACTGTTTTGATCATTAATAAACCTAACACAATGGGTGTTAACTTACTGCAAGCTCACATAGCCTAACGAAGTCATGTTGATAACATTGATGAAAGCTCGCAATAAGTTAACATTGTTGTGTTTGGTTTATTAACAATCAAAACTGTTCTACAATAATCTCAAAATAATTTGTGAAATTTTAAAAATAAATAATTAATTAATGCACTACAGGATATGAAAATAATATTGTATTATTATTAATTTGAACCAGCAACATTTAGAGTATAGTTCTGATGATCTATTGAGCTAAACTAATCTAGAGAAATCCACTCACCCCTTCGATTGTTACCCAAGGCACGTAGGTGTGAGGTGGCTGTAAAGCATCTGTTTTCAGAGCCATCTTATGCTCAAGCTGGTTGCCTTGACTACTGTTGGCACATTTGGAAACAGCATTAAACTCTAACCCATACTTCATAAGGCACTTTTGATAAAGAAAATGAAAACTGAAATAAGTATATGATGACTAAAATCAGCTCCAAACCTAGGGGCAAAATAACAATTATTTATTTGTCCTCATTCAAATTTTAAATTTAGGCTGAGCCACAGTGCAATAATAAATCGTTCTGTAATAGATTATTCATGAAGATATTCTTTCCATATGTGTGACTTTTTGTTTTCAACACAATATCTAGAAAATAAATGTCATATGTATTGTTAACTTTTGTTCATGTGACGAGTACTGGTACAGGCGTTTATCATGCGCCTCTTCCTTAAGGTTATTTATTAAGCTCAATTCTTTTCCCTGGTCATTGGGTCCACACGCTTTAAGTGTTGCTGTTGGTAATCAGTGCAGGATCAGTTAACCCCACCAGGTACCCATTTATACAACTAGGTGGAGGGAAGCAATGCAGATAAAGACACAAGCAAAATTCACAGTGAGGGATTGAAACCTTGATCTCGAGTTTGGGAAACCTAACCGTTCCTGCTGTGCCAAACTGCTTCCATAAAAGAAATCTTGAATCTAAAATCTCAATCTTAGGATTATTAAAGGAAAAGAGCGACCAGAGCCTGTTAAAAACCAAAGCTAGCCAGGTTTGAACTGGATCATGGTGGCACACAGAGGAGCTTCCCCCTCCCCAGTCACTCCCCATTGAAAATATCCGAAGAAAAAAATCCAAATTAGTTAAAAATTACCTCATATATATGTTTGGTGGATTTGATTTTTTTGTCTGTTTGGCTTTTTTAATATGTTACCATGAGATGCAGATGCATCTTAGTTCTGCCAGATTTTATGAATTCTAAAAGTTTTTTGAATAAAGAAAAACCAGAAATATATATAATATCACCTTATTTTGCAACAGCACCCCTGAATTAATCATTGATAACCCCACTCCAGATTAGCGCCCCTATCAGCTACCACCCACCTCCTTTTCAGGACTCCCAGGTACACCTGTCAATGGCTCAGCTTCCCTATGTACTGTACCTGTTGGGCAGCATTAGCTGGGTCTTTTGCTGCTTCCGTACAGATGCCCCACACTAGCCCCCATCTGCTTCCCCATCTGCTACTTTCTCACCCCCTCCCCCCATTTCAAAAATTCCTATGTACACTACTGTCAATGGCTCATCTTCCCTATGTACTGTACCTGTTGAGCAGCATTAGCTGGGTCATTTGCTGCTTCCATACAGAAGATCACAAGAACTGCTTGTTTGAACGGAACAAGGGATAAGACACACGTCTCCATGACGTTGCCAGCGCACTCTCGTTCACCATGTTGACATGTGAACTGCCACTCATCTCCAACATTTTGTTCCTATTGCAACGACATTGTAAGAATGACAGGAAGGTCAAGATACATAAAAATATGATTTCATCAAAGATTTTAATCTGGTTCCATAGAATGAATGAGAAAAATTATAAATTAAATTGATGACAATAATAATTAATAATAATAGCAATAAATAATAAAATGATAAAAAAATATGATAATAATAATAATATAGGAGTGATGTTTTTCCCTATATGACGTATTATTGTTCCGAATACTTGGTTCATTCCCAAATACCTGGTACTTGCGAAAAAAATTTGCAAGTGATTCGGTTTTTTCATAATTATTTGGTACGATAGTACGTCAGGTAGGGCAAAACATCACTCCTATGACATTTCCTGATGCAAACTCACATCATAATAAAAATAATATTAGCAATTACTGTAAATAAAACAACTTAAAGATGTATTGTCTCATGCAAAATACAAAAAAAATCATTTTTTAAATTATCTTGCTCATTTTGAAGTAAAATAAGACTTGAACATAGAAATAAGTGTATTTATAAAATGTTTTACCCATAATTTTACAGCGTAAAAAAACAGAAAAACTTATCATTTTTATTATCATTATCCAGTATATAAAAATCAGGGTATAAATTTTCATAATCAATAAATTCAATAATTTCTTTGCTCAAGTTAATAATTTGTTTGTTACTGCAAAATGAGCAATTTTAAAATAATATTTTTATGGATTTTTGTCATTTTCAGGGGACAATGCATCTTTAAAAAAAACAGAAATATAAACTGAAATAAAATTAATGTATATTTCAAAATTATTGGGCCTAGTGGTATATCCACATACCTGAGCATTGCCATATGGAACCAATTCCAAGTTCAGTATTCCTGTCGCTCCTAACTTTTCCCAAGTTGGTTGAAGTTGTTCGGCTATAAATTGTTTACAGTCTGGGCAGAGAGACTCGTAGTATAAAGTTAGATTGACTGGCGGTGCATCAATCTTCAATTTTAACCATGGTTTGCACTGCTGCTCCACCTAAAATGCAAATTAATTTTATTTTATGATGTTTGAATTTAAGTTCTATTTTTTTCCGGGAACAGAATATATTATGAATGGCTACAGTGAGAATATATTTACCTGGCTGAGTAATACTATAAAAAATTATATTAATGTTGATATATATATAATGAGTCTTTTTTTATTCTTCTATTATTAAAAGTACTTTTTTGCTTGGAAGTTAAAGTTGGAAGTTGTTTGGTAAATTAAGAAAAAACAATTATAACAGAATACAATGTATCTTGCATCAGGCTGGAAAAATTCTACAACAAAATATAGACAACTAGATGTTATCTGTGAGATTAAAATTATTGATAAAGTAAAGAGTATCTTCAGTGGCGGATTTAGAGCAAGGAGTAAGGGCCGTAGGCCCCCTATTTTTTTTTTTGTAAAAAAAAGCTTTTTAGCTAGAGGTTTATGGGGATTTGTCCCTTGATCCCTTACACCTAGGCTCTTTCACGGAGACTCACCAATTTGCATAATCACGCCCCTCTTTCTTATGGGGCTGGATCCGCCCCTGATCTTATAGTTCCCACCCACTAAACACATACTTGGCTTCCCTCTGGTAAAAGTTTAAAATCACAAACCTGTAGAACATATAGATATCTCAACTCATTTGCACTATTAGAATTCTTAATCAAAATGTCAAATCAGTTTTAGGGCCTAATTATAATCATATTGTTGTCGTTTTGTATTAATCTTGCACTTCGTTTTGCAATGTGACGAACCAACTGATTTTCCGAAAGGATACAAAATGAAGAATCTTAAATCTTGAATTTTCTTGGTTTTTCAGGCAAATCGAAAAATACTTGTGATTACCATTAAAAAATGTTGATAAATTTTAAAAAAAAAAGTTTTTTTTTTTAAGAATACACTTTAGTTGTCTATTTTTGGAACTCCACAGCTAAGCTGGTGCACTCCACATGCATACAATACTTATCACTATGTCATAGGCATAGCAGTCACACCATAGTCACACCGACCTGAGTAAGCTTTCTTTGATTACTGCCTCTCACTAAAACCGGCAACCAAGTCTCATTATTTTTAGACTATTGTTGGTCATATTACCTTACAAGCCCTTGCCGTCTCCCTTGAGGAACACCATAAGCTCGGATGAAGAGAACAGCGATCAGCCAATATTACGTTTACGTTAATTAACAGAAGGAGGAATGCAACCTTTCTTTCCATCTTGATGGTAGTACAGCAGTTGCTAAATCGCTTTGTATGTAAAGTCACCTGACATCCTATCTTGTGACATCAACAAGGGAAAGTCCCGTACAGCTTCGTACGCGCTAGTCAACATGGCTTCTGATTCCAATGAGGTAGCAATGCACGACGAATTCATACATGAATTACATGAAAAGATATCTGATATATTAGAACCATTAGGATTTGAGTCGTATGTTTTTAAGGTAATGAGTTTTGTAGAGGGCTATTAATATGGTACAATGTGGTGTTAAAATGTATTTTATACCCTTCATCTCGAGTAAGTAAAGGAAGCCATAGGATAGCCTATGTGAAAGAGATAGATTGGATTGAGTGTGTGGGCAGGTTGTGGCTGGCGTCCGTAGGTGACCTATCTTCTAGCTTGGCTAGGCCAGTTTACCCTGTCATCGGAGTAACCACACTACCAACATTCATATTCGTTTATCTTCCCAACTATTGATTCAGTAAGAAGCCTAACCTAACATACCTTCAATCTGACCAAACAGATCATGTGATGTTGAATTAAATTTGCATAACTAACTAAATTTAAAATAAATTTATTTATTGCCTTTAATTATTTTAGCACTTTATTTATATATACAAAATTTTATATTTTTTATACTTTTCTTTTTAAGCCTTTTAGTACAATAATTTGATGCAATTCTGATGCAGTTTAGTCATATTTTAATCATAAATATTGGTTCATTTATTATTATGGCAGTATTACAGTGGCATTGACATACATCACAGGTGGGCAAAGTGTGACCCACCGGCCGCATGCGATGCAACATTAATTTTGTTTGCGGCCCTCGAAAATGAATTAAAAAACCTGAGCGGCCCACCAACCATCTTTGGCTAGAAGAAGAAGACCATGTCCTTACAGCCCAACACCAATTATCTG